AATTAATAACCAAACAATGACACAGAAACCATTTTTTATGAAATACTACATTCTGATTTTAAATGAACTAATATATCTCCTAAAAAATTATAGATACAGGGACAATAAGATATGAATTGAGACTTGCATCTTTTACCATGATGTTTGCCAAAAATTTTTGTTTGATAACCTTATTCAGACTTGGTAAGTTCCATTTTAGGAGCCTATGAAATGACTTTTCAGTGTTAGGAGTTATCATGGAGGTGTGTTCACACAAATAGAATTGTAATATACAAGCTCACGGTAAATAGAGTATATTGGTTTATAGGAAAGTAATTTGAATTCTCAACTTAACAGACTACTTTTATTTATAATACTAATCGGTATTAGGAGGACGCATCCATTGATAGTGGTTGGTGTTTCCTTCTTCTTCTTCAAGGATGAAATCAGAGCATTAGTTATAGTTTTAGACCAATTGTAATTTCTACATCCATCCAAAATTTCAATATATGGTACAAAACCCCAACTCACTGTGTTTCCTGTTACTGGAAAAAAAGAGTTACCAATAGATACATATACAATAATTTTGCCAAATCAGCGTAATCAGTCTCATAGTCCCTTTTAGATGCTTGTTTGAGCTTGATTCTTATCGATGTTGCTGTCAACCTCTAATCTTTTTTGAATCAATGTTCAGTAAAGTGTGTAAACGATTTTTCATGTATTGTACAATAAATTTTTTCACACTCATCTTGTATCCCAAATATTAGAGTCGCATCACTTAGCCACATCTTCAGTTTTTCAGTTTCGATACTAAATCTTGAAGTATCAGGATTGAAACATAACCGTATTTCAAGAATGCTACTGTTACTTTTTCGGCACCATATTTTGTACACACTTTGGTCAATGATATTCTCAAAAAGCAACCAGAATGGAGTCTTTTTCAATTCTGTCTTGTGGTCCTCTTTCAAATCAAATTCGTCAATCGCCTTGATAATGACAATCATATTTGATCTGTACTGTGGATTAGACTTTGCAATACTGATGTATATTTTACTTTGATTGTCTTTTAACTCAACAATTTTCTTATTAAATTTCGATTCCTGCCGTGGAATTTCTTTGCTACGCCTTATCTTAGGTTTTCTTTTTGTAGATCTTATTTTCGCCATGTCCTATTTAAGTTTGTAGAAATTTTTGAAAAAACAAACCCATTCATAACATATATAGAATTCACACACAAACATATTATACAATATCCAACCATTACAGTCCCATACAATTGTTAAGGTATGATGTATCTCTAATTGCATACAGTCCAAAGATGTATGGTCTTGTTTTTATGCAAACATGAATTATGTTGCGAAAACTTGAATGGAGGTTCAACATACAATTACTTAACAGAGTTACTCAAAACATAACACAATAAAATTTCATAATTTATACTTAATTTATACAGATTACCCACAATCAGTTAATAAGATGTCAACAAATTTGTACTTTATATGTATCATTCCATACATTGACAATTTATACAAAACTCATTAGAGATATTCAATAGAGTAACAACAAATTGTGACAACATACTATGACAACCTACATACAATTACAAAAAACTGATATTATACTTTTTATTGAAATCGACAACATAAAAAACTAAACATCTATGTTAGGGTATCATACAGTAACTATATGATGTATCATATTAACCTAACCATTAGCCCACACATTGGTAACTGTTTAAATTTTTACAATGGATTTGAGCTAAGTTTTTAGGAGCATTATACCTTTGGTGTAACTCAGTTGCATACAGTAACTACATTGTGTACACAAGTACTGTTATGTATCACTGTAGGGTGTAGCTCAGTTGCATACCATAAATATGTACATTCTCCATATAGTTACTTATTATAGTTATTCATACCATATACACATAATTTTGATAAGTAGAACCAACTCATTTAGATTGACCAAAAATATTAGCAATACCTCAACAAATAGGTACTCGATATATCCCCTCTAAAAGAATGCAATGTTATACCATTCATATTTAGAGATACCTAATAGAGTTACAACATAAACGAGTTACTAATAAAATATCAAGAATTTCAATTTTTACATACATGCATTCATCATGTAAGAATTGACCTTTTATTATTTTCTTTTAATAAAAAATAGGTTGGGATTTATCAAACAAAAAAAATAAACTAAAAAAAATTAAATAAACAAACTCTTACCTTTGTGAGATTCAAATGTCAATCGTAACTCCAAAACAGTTACTAACAACAAAAATAAGAATAAAATCCTTTAAATCTCAAAATAGCTACTCAACACTGTTAGATTAGACAAAACATTTTTGAAATTGTTTAGAATTTGTATTCAAATAACTTCAATTTTAGAATTACTCATTTAATATAAAAGAATTCTACTTTGTTATTTTCATCTCCGAAATTAGGATTTTAAAATTTTATTTTTTGTTTTTCAAACAGAAATTCAAAAGTTTTGAAAAAAAAAACAAAAAACAAAATAATAAAATTCATATATGAAACCCGAAGGCAACTTGCATTTTCTGGTGAAGATTTGGCCGGCGACGGCAAATAGTTATTGGACATCAAAGCTCCGATTTTTTGCTCGTCTTCTTCCTCTCTTTTTTTTGACAAAAAATCATTGTTAATCTTCTCTACTATGTGGAGATTCTATACCAAAACTATCCCACTGTCAAAGTTTTCGAATAAGAGGGGTCATGATAATTACTGCCCCTTTAATTACCTCCCCATTACTTCACTGTTGCCAAAGAAGACAATCGACAAACAAATGGGTTTCATCCCTTCCTTTTTATCGAATGACATTCTCGGCATTTTTAAAAAAATTACACTTTAGCACAAGTAAGATTTAGTGTTCTATTTTTGCTCAATTAAATCTAAAAAATTGTACCGACTTCCATTTTACCCTTATATATTTGAATAGTCAAACTCATTCTTTACTCTATAATTATTAAATATGAGAATAACTATGTGTAATTCATTTATTAAATGTTGTTCATTATAAAGTATAATAACAGACATCCCATGCGATACTTAAATTTTAACTCCCCCATCATCACTCTTTTTTGAACCTCAAATTATTGAAAAATTACCCAAAAATGAATTAAAATTAAATTTATTAAATGTGCAAAAGTGAAGAAAAATGAGTGACAATTTAAATTTAAAATAATTTAATAAGATATTGAAAGTAGTTACAACATATTGAAGGAGTAGTTAAATAAGCCAAATGAAATAATTTGCTTGGAAGAATGTAATTAAGTATTTCAAAATTTTAGACAATTAAATATTTAGGAATTGAATACTTCTCAATAGGGATGATAGTGGACCGAGATGGGAGAGAGAGGGGAGGGGGGAGTAGTCTCCATCCCCGTATCCATTTTAAAAATGTTCGTCCACCCCTAATCCCCGCCCTATGAATAAATTTTGATCCCCGCCACCGTTTCTACTCAAAACAATTTATTTCTATGATTTTAAGAAAAAAAATTTAAAAAAAATATAAAATCTCACAAATAAATTTACAAGGATGAAAACTCATTATATAACAAATAGATTAGGGATAAGTTTCAGACACTTGTAGTCCATCCCTGCCTCCATTTTTTACACGGGTTTATATGCGTAATTTCATATATATTCATCGTCCAATACATATGTTCTATCCCCAGTCTAAACGAAACGAGCTTAAACGAATACCCATTTTTTTCCTCGAACTATGTCATCCCTACGTCTCATGCCCTATCACCTAAAAAATATTTGTTTTATAATAGAGAGTATTAATTAGAATTGTATAAAAAAATTATTTTTAATTTATAATTTTATCAAAAATATTTTTTATTTTTATAAAACGTTTAAAATAGAGACTCCTAGAATGCTGAATGAATGCTTACTTTGCTTGTCAACTTGTCCGATGCGTTCACCTATCTCAAGAGGATATATCCTCTACTATTCGTTTGATAAAAATAAAAAATTCTAGAACACAAAATTACAAAATCATATCTAATTTGGGAGGATTACATTTAGACTCGTCGAGATTGTCACTTAATTATTTAAATTCCTGATATTTGAAATGTTTTATACCGATCCCCTTGAATTTATATGTACGTAATACTTAGACCTTTGTTGTAAATATATCCGTTAATAAATTACACTTAGACTCCTAAAATTTGTAGGCATATAATATTTAGACTCTTCAAGTATAAAATAAAATATTTAGATTAAAAATACTCAAATTAAAGATAGAATATCAAATATTTTAAATTTTATAACTAAAATTCATATTCTATTATATCATTTATTGAAATAAATATTTAATAAATATTTAATTTTTTTTTAAAAAAACTAAAAAATCAAACAATGAGTCTAAATCATTCATAATAGAACATGAATTTTACAATCAAAATTCATGTTCTATTATGCAATTTATTGAAGTAAAATCAAAAATAAAAATTTAGTTTTAAAAAAAAATTATATTTGGTATACAATTATACCATCTATTAGAATAAAACTAAAAAATTAAACAAGGGGTCAATATGTAATGGGCACAATATTTTTTAGTTTAAATGACTAAATTAAATTCAAATAGCTAATTACAATTTTTTTAAAAAAATTGAATTTTTATTTTAAATTTTATTTTTTTAATGAATGATATAATAGTATATTAATTTTAGTTGTAAAATTTAAAATATTTGATATTATATCTTTGAAGTATTTTTAGTCTTAATATAACATTTTAAATTTAAAAAGTCTAAGTAATATATGTTTAAAAATTTAACAGGTCTAGGTATAATTTATTAACAGATATATTTATATAAAAATATCAGAAAATCTAAGTGATTAATATTTTAAGAGTCTGTATATAATATTTTAAATATTAAAAAATCTAAATAGTTTATTTGTCTAGACCCAAAAATTAATCGAGTTACGTGAGAGAGAGAGAGAGAGCGAGAGAGACGGCGTCTCAAGCACTTCACTATCATGGTGACTCTCTCTGTCTCTGTTTTCATATATAGAACAAATTTCACACATTCATATACACGGATTGAGAGACAAATATAGAGATCAGATCTTAGGTAAAATTGAAGAATGAAGGCATTGAACAGTGGAGGAGATCTATTGAAATCATCATCTACATTCATTAAAATCTCTGTATTCATATTCATATCACTGGCTTTCTTCTACTTGGGCAAGCGCTGGTCCGATGGCTCTCAACAACTCATCTTCTTCAACTCTCACCAATCACCACAGACCCCCTCCGTTTCTCTCTCCCCTAATTTCAACTACACTTTTAATCTCTCTTCCCTCGTAAACCAGTCCGTTTCATCCCAGATCCAAACGCTACCTTCAATTCCGCCACTTTCAAATCCACAAGCAAACTCAGATGAGCAATTACTTGCTCCGCCGGTTCTTCCACCGCCGCCGGTGGTACAGAGGATGGGAGTGGTGGACGAGAATGGAGTGATGACGGATGATTTTGAGATTGGCGAATTCGATCCTGATTCGTTCGAGAAGTGGAATGAGACTGAAGAGGCGGTTGAGGAAGTAGGGGCTAGGGTTAGTGTTAAGAAGTTTCGGCTGTGTCGGGAGAGTATGAGGGAGTACATACCGTGTTTGGACAATGTGGAGGCGATTAAGAGGTTGAATTCGACGGAGAAAGGGGAAAAGTTTGAGCGGCACTGTCCAGAGAAAGGTCACGGCTTGAATTGTTTGGTTCCGCCACCTAAGGGGTACCGACCTCCAATTCCGTGGCCTAGAAGCCGCGATGAGGTGTTTCTTTCCTATATTTTCACACTTTTACTTATTTTATAGCTCTCTTTGTTGTGAATTTTTGGTGGAATTTGAAATATGTCACCAATGTGAGATCCAATTGAGCTGCTTACTATATACATTCAGATAATTAGACCGTCTTCAATGGAAAATCAAACTCTTACCAAAATTTAATTAAAAAAAAAAAGGTAAAAAGCTTGAATTAGTATAAACCTCTCCAATGGAGAAACCCAAATTTAAAGGAAGATAAATCCAAATTTAAAGGAGGATAAACCCAAATTTAAAAGAGGGTAAAACATGGCCATTAGATCTTTAGTAGGGTATAATCGAACCAATTTTGATATAGATTTGAGTCTCTATTAATTTGAAGAAAATAATTAGTCTCCTTTTATTTAATATGGGTATGGGACTAGCATTGAAAAGGTTTTTAGGAGTTTTTTTACCCAAATTTAAATTTGGGTTTAAAAAAAGGTAATTGTTGGAGATGCTCATAGGTTGTTCTATATGTAGATTTCCTAAAATTTCTACTTATTTTTCCTTTATGTCATGGGAAAATATTTGTTTAATATGAATAAATGCCAAATATGTTGATTGTGTGCAAATTTAAGTACTTTTCTGAATATAGAATCCTTGTGACATTGTAAATTTGTTATAGCATTCTGAACATGAAAATACAGGTATGGTTCAGCAATGTGCCCCATACGCGGCTAGTTGAAGATAAAGGTGGTCAAAATTGGATTACTGTGGACAAGGATAAGTTTAAGTTTCCAGGAGGTGGCACACAGTTTATACATGGGGCAAAGCAGTACTTAGATCAGATTGAAAAGGTTGTGAACTAACTAAAATTGAAGGGAAATTATTACTTCGGTCCTGGTAGTTTCTGTTTCTGATCGCCAGTTTTGGCCTATTTATGTGTAGATGGTCCCTGAAATTGCTTTTGGTCGTCATACTCGAGTTGTATTGGATGTTGGATGTGGTGTGGCAAGTTTTGGTGCTTATTTGTTATCGAGGAATGTGCTCACAATGTCGATAGCTCCAAAGGATGTTCATGAGAACCAGATTCAATTCGCGCTTGAGCGTGGTGTCCCTGCAATGGTTGCAGCTTTCGCAACTCGGCGTCTATTGTATCCGAGTCAGGCTTTTGACTTGGTTCATTGTTCAAGATGCAGAATTAATTGGACTCGTGATGGTATGCTTTCCATAGATTTAACTGTTGGTTTGATTGCATATAAAATGCCTTAGATTTGTTTTACGGCAATCTTGACTTATTATTTTCTGTAACCTAATTTTTCTTTTATGATGGAAAATAGATATAATTAATGAAAGAAAACTAAACACTTTGATTGACCATCAATGCAGAATTTTTGTGCCAATGAGCATTAATTAGGTTATACCGTACAATCTAGTCTTTCCATGTGTTGTTTTGCCCTTGTGTTATTTAATTTAAAAGATACGTGGAACATACCGGTTGGAGATCCTTGATTTAAGATTTTTTTTCAAAGAATTGGGTTTGACAGTGATTGTTATGTTGCTAATACCAAATTCATCTCTGGGATATATTCTGACATGCTTCCATCTGTTCTTCCACTCTGATGAAGATGGGATTTTACTGCTTGAGATCAACAGGATGCTCCGGGCAGGAGGATACTTTGCTTGGGCAGCACAGCCTGTTTATAAGCATGAAGTGCTCCTGGAAGAACAGTGGGAAGGTAATACTACCCTGATTTCTGGTGTAGATTGATTTGCAAAGTTTTCATTTTAATAACTCATAAAGCATTTGCTGGTAGAATTGCACAAATCTGCACTCTTTCTTGTATTTCCCCTTCCTGTGAAAACTGTGCACATGGATTTCTACCCATGTTATTCTATGTCAATTGTTAGAGAGTTCTATAAAATTAAATTATTTACAACTTGAAAGTTTCAATGGATGGGTTGTGGGTGATTTGAGTTGTCACTGATTAGTCCTTCGAACACAATGTGGCTTGCTGGGCAGAAATGGATGCTCAAAAATTGGGTGAAACCATTGTTGAGCAGTGTAACTTACCCCATCTGACTTTAGCAGTTTATTTTTGTGGAGGTTGTGCTTTCAGCTGGACAAAAATGAACTGTCTTAACTCTTAAACTTATTTTCCTGTAACTCCAATTCTGTTTTAATAATTTTTCTGACAAGCCATCTTACCAATAAGCAACAATATCAGTTAGCATAATTTTCTTCTGTCTTTCTTTGTTTCAGAGATGGTTAACCTCACCAATCGTCTTTGCTGGAATCTTGTGAAGAAGGAAGGGTACATTGCAATATGGCAAAAGCCATTTAACAACAGTTGTTATAAAAACCGCGAGGCTGGAACCCAACCACCTCTGTGTGAACCTAAAGATGACCCGGACAATGTTTGGTATTTTTGCTATCATCTTCTTGTTTCTATATTGATGATAAAATTTTTTATTCAGTAGAAATAGTCATATACATGCTCCAGTATCCCTAATAGACTTGAATACTTTACCAACTTGTTGGGGGTGGTAGGAGATAGCACTCAAGCTTACATTGATAGCACATCCATTCTATATCTTCATTTAATTTTCTAGAGTTTTCTCATTCTTGGCCAGGAACTTCAAATAGGTTACGAATACTTTTTAGACTTGTGACGGCATAGGATGTGTCATAGAAAGATATACTCGTTTTCAGATCTACTTGGATTTAATAGTTACGAGATGTTGAGCTTTGCATTTGCTGCGATATCCAGGACTGAAATGATACATTTAGTGTATCATTTTACAATGTATCATATAATACACAATACGTTATGATACGCGGTGTATAGATTTAAAAAATAAAAATTAAGAAAAAAGATAAAGAAAGATAAACATCCTATGTAAATAGTATATATAGTTTTTATTTTATTGATTTGTTCAATCATTTTAATATTTTATATAATTTACATGGCCTTTGTGAGGTGTAGAAAAATTTTGTCAAATAAGAAAACTAGTGGAAGGCAAGTTATTGGAAAAAAATAATGAAGAGGAGGAAGACATAAAAAAGTTTGAAAAGGATAGAGGAAGTAAAGCCTTGTTGGTATTTGATGATGAAGATATTGATGCGATTGGAATTGAAGATCAAGATGAAAATGTAAGTTGCATGATCATAAGAATGGATTGTTTTGGATTTTGTTAATCTTTAGATTTTGATATTAATGAATTATGTTGTAAACTTGAATTGTTAAATTTTGTTTTGAAACTCAGTATTTTTAAATCTTGTTTGGAGTTTAAGTTAAAATATAACATTTTGGCATATAAATATACCTATGTGTATATATATACACACACACATATAAATATTTATATTAAAAAGCAAAGCATATCTTACAATACACAATACATTCCGTTTCATGATATACTATATGAAGAAAGCGATATGCACTCCGATATGTGTTTTGACGACCTTGGCAATATCAACACTGTTGAACCTGAGAATTTGTTTACCTGAACAGCCTGGCCCCAAAATGGATTAGAAGATTGATACCTGGACCACGTTGGGGTTATATACACACACAGACACGCACACTCATAAATATTTATATTAAAAAGCAAGGCATATCTTACGATACACAATACATTCCATTTCATGATATACTATATGAAGGAAGCGATATGCACTCCGATATGTGTTTCGATGACCTTGGCAATATCAACAGTGTTGAACCTGAGAATTTGTTTACCTGAACAGCCTGGCCCCAAAATGGATTGGAAGATTGATACCTGGACCACATTGGGGTCTAAACTCTCTTGTTAATCCAACAAAACCTGGCTATCTATGCCTTATTTCTGCTCGAGGGTTATGGAGTGGTGAGGGTTACAAGATTAGTTTGATTAAGTGAGCATGTATCTTCCTTTTTGTACGTATTCAGTGGGGCAAAGAATCTGCATAAACCAGATCTGTATAGTGAATTTAAACTTCTTACCAACATGAATTGCTCCTCATCCCATCGTTTGATTGCTATAACAACAAGAAGAGCCAGGCGTGTTGTCTGTTCACTCTTTTGAGTACTGGTTTGATAAGATTAATAATGGAGCAATTCAAGTTGGATTTTCTATTGATTGCCCTATATAACATATCCTTGGAAATCACCACAAAAGTACAGCTAGAAGTTGATTTGTTGTTTTGCATGATGGGCAGTTGTACATCAAAGATTCTTTCATTGTTCCGTACTTAAAACTTCTGGAGATTGCGTTTTATTAAGCTGGTGTTAAACTATAGATGCCAATTTAACTTGGCTGATGAAATTACAGTGTGCTTTGCATTTTAAACGATATTGTTTCAGATTATGCTTTCCTAACCAGCTGCATTCCATTCCCTGGTAAAAGATTTTAGGACCTCCATGTCAAAGGCAGGGAAAAGACTAACCAGTTCTGCAAACTATTAATTGTTAATTGAATTCATTTACCGCACCAGAAAAAAGTACTCAATTTAGTATAAATTGTCCTTGACATATGCTTTGTGCATATTTAAAAAAAATGTTCTCTCCCTCCACACCAACACATCTACAGTAGAGAAAAATTGTGAAGACAAGTCATGCCAATATTGCTTGATGGGTTCCTTAGGCATTTCAATCTATAGTGATAGATTGGATTATATCCGGTTGAATGTGTTTCAGGAGTTTTGCATGCCTTTGCACCATTATACTCCTGTCATCACTCACTGGCCGTGTTATTCTTTGCATTATGTTTTTAGGTATGTAGGTCTGAAGGCCTGTCTTACTCGACTACCTGAGGACGGATATGGAGCAAATGTTACAACATGGCCTGCACGCCTGCAGAATCCTCCTGATAGACTCCAGAGCATTCAAATCGATTCCTATATTTCTAGAAAGGAGCTTTTTAAGGCAGAATCGAAATACTGGAATGAAATAATAGAAAGCTATGTCCGTGCTTTACATTGGAAGAAATACAAACTTAGAAATGTACTGGACATGAGAGCTGGGTTTGGAGGGTATTATATTTATCTCCCACTTGTGTTGCTTCCTCTTATAACCTGATGAGAATTGCTTCATACAATGTGAACTGCAAATATGTTTTGCTGTTTATAAACTTTAGTATAAATTCTCTAATTTTAGACAGTGATTTCTTGCTTTTTACAGATTCGCAGCAGCGTTGATTGAAAACAAATTGGACTGCTGGGTTCTGAATGTTGTTCCTGTTAGTGGGCCCAACACCTTACCTGTTATATATGACCGTGGACTTCTAGGAGTTATTCATGACTGGTACAAACAAAACACTATTAATACTTTTCTCTTTTCTTGTAGCTGTTGTTGAATTAAGTAACTTCGATACTAGTTATTGTCATATATGATTTTAATACATCACTCAGTTTGATATCTGTGGTCACATCCTTCCTTTCCCTATAATTATTTGAGCACCTAACCCAAGGATGGCCATCACTTAAATCCGCTTTCAGACAGTGACTGTGGGAAAAGACCCAAGCGCACTTTAATTTGACTCTGAAAAAAGCCTCAGGTGATGAGCTGCCCAGTCCCAAAATATTATCAAAGATCAGCCAAAGTACTATTCTTTAACCCCTCCCAAAATAGTATCAAAGATCACCCAAAATAGTACAGATCCCCTCTTCCTATTTTGGGCACTGAACCTTCATAACCTGAGCCTTTTTTTATAACAGTCAAATAAATGCAACTTTTGCAACAAAATTTCATAGTGCTTTAAGTGATGACTACCATCTGAAAAGCTGGGGTTTGGGAGTTGAAAATCTCATTGCTAACAACTGATATCCATCTATATATATGTTATTTTCTTCAAAGTTGGTGAAGTTATGGTGGAGTGGAATGAATTTCAATGAGCTCAGCATTAACAGAGTGAGTTCAGCATTAACAAAGTTGCACTACCTTCCCAGGTGTGAACCATTTGATACATACCCGAGAACCTATGATCTATTGCATGCAGCTGGTCTCTTCTCTATTGAACGAAGAAGGTATGCTCACTTCCTTAATTGTTGATTAGCTGAGAGTTCTTGCATTTCTCTGTTTTGTCTACCAACCAAAAATTTAGTTTTGTTTAACCTTGATAAGAACTTAGAATTTCCATATTGAGCAAGCTGTAAACAAAAGGCATGGTTGAATGTACTGAAAACTTTTTGGATAATATATTTAACTGCGACATATTGATCTGAGATTTTGGGTAAGAGCATATTGGTTTTTATAGGTTTGTAATCTAGGACTTCTGTCAAACTGTAGATTTGATCCTTGAGTAGTGTGTCTTTCCATATTTGTTCCAGTTGTTTTACATCTGATGCTATACCATGTCATGTTTATTTGTTTACTTTCTATCAGATGCAATATCTCTAGCATCATGCTTGAGATGGATCGGATTCTGAGACCTGGAGGGCGTGTGTACATCCGTGATTCTATTGCTGTCATGGATGAACTTCAAGAGATTGGGAAGGTCATGGGTTGGCATGTGTCTTTGCGCGACACATCTGAAGGCCCTCATGCAAGTTATAGAATCTTAACTTGTGATAAACGCCTCTTACGCTCTTGAGGCATTGGGATACAGAATTACATTGGACGTTATCATTACTCCTCTTGACATTCCTGCCAAGAACAATGCAAGTAATTTGTCTGGCACCATTGCATAGGGATTACTCCTCGAACTCTCGCCATTCTGCAGAGAAGCGGGGAAAAGTATGGTTGCTGAAACCTCAGTACAGGTAACAATTTGTTGACCGTGCAGCATAATGTTGCAACTCATGTATAGAATAGTGTGATTGAGCCTCATTTGACTACAGTTCAGAAAAAAAAAGGCATTATTTGATTACCCTGTATGAGTAGAAAATACATGAGGGTTTTATAGCTCCTAACCTAACACAGTTGTTTCTTACCCAATTGATTAGGAAATACATACAAAGCTTCAATTCTTCACTCTGTGCTTGTATTATTATTGCCCACATATGCAAGGTTCTTCAAATGGCTATATATGCTCGGTTAAAGCACAATTGATCATTTTGTCGGGCGGCGGGGGAGGGGGGGGGGGGAGAGTGAGGAGAGAGATTGTGAGATATATGGGTTGGTATTGTAAAATTGGGAGAGGTCTCTTGCATTGGGTCATAAGCCTAACGGTCTAGACCATTCTTGTGTTGTATTTAATGGGTATATTTTTAAAAAGTATTCTCCTATTCCTCTAGGCAGAGAGAATAAAGGGGCCCCTAAATGTGTTGTCTAAATCTGATGTAGTAAGATTATTATCATTCACAAAGACTTTTCATAGCCTTTGCAAAAGGCCCGTACGACCCACGGGTTGATCCAAAAAAATTCCGGAAGGCTGCAATGCCCGGGATATGCCGCTGGCCACTGTTTGGCGGGCTTGAGAGGCCCTATCAGTTCTTTGGGCTTGACTCTTGGTGTTAGTCATATAACGGGGATGTCTCCTTCAAAACTCAAATTTAAGAACGCTAATATTAACCATTGAATTGCTATCATCTGATCTTTCGGTTTTCATGAATCTTTCTCAGTATAACTTATCAATGAGAGAAATCTAGTTGAACAGGAGATCAAAAGGTTCCATATTTCTCTTTCATAGGCGCATACAAATTCCTTCTTCCTCCTTCATTCTTCTAGAATCTGATGCTTCTTCGGGTTCATGATACATTCAAATCATGTATATTAAGAGAATGTCTTCTGTCACATGGAATAAAAATGGAACTTTGCCTACCTGTTTCACCTTCCACCAATCAAAAATTGTGGTTAGAATTGATGGCATCAAGCTTTTAGAACATCTTTAACATTTTTTATTTGTTCTGAAGCACTGTGGATATGGTCTCTTGAGCAAGAACATGCTTCCTTTTATGGGTTTTGGTTCTTATTCCTTAATTATTTCCCATCAGAAAATTATCAGCACTTATTCTCTCGGTGCCCTTCATCAGGATATTCGGTTAAGAGAATGATCATGACAGGGATATTCTGTTGATTATCAAATCTTTCTAAGTTTATGCATGTACTTAGACTTGACTCAAGTTAATTATCATTTTATTTAGACTTGGTTGCCAGGCTTGATCTCTTGCTGAAGGCCACTCGATTTCTAGATCATATGTTTAAGTTAGCTTGACACGTCCAACTAGACTAGAGACTTGTACTCATGATCCCCTAGTAAAGAGTAGATATTTTATTTATTAAACTGAGTGTTACATTTTTATCTTTTTAATCACAATAAATTTTATATTGTACAACAATATAATCAAGTTTATTGAACAAGTAAATTTATATATTGTACAATGAACAAATTGAGCTCGAGTCTATCGAACTAAATAATATATTATTTGAGCTCAACTTGAATATTAAGTAAATTAGTGTTTTAATTATATTCATTTTATTTTTCAATATGAAAACATTTACACGATCCGGTATCGTACTCAAACAACTTATTAAACAATCCCAATTGAAAAGGTTAGGAAAGAAAAATTTTGTTGTCAGTAAATAAATTATTAGGAAAGGAAATTTTTGTTATTAAAAAATTAATATTTTGTTTTCATGTACAATTAGGACTTTTTTTTTGTCCCCTTATTGTAATATAAAGAAACACTCACGTGAATGATAGAATTAAAAAATTCATTCCACAATTCATTTCACGAAGAAATCTTTGTATGAGCTCAAACAGGTTTTCCGCAATTGTTTTTTCAAGCTTTATTGTGTTTTTCTTGATGCAAGTTTCAAGCAGTCTCAATCATATCATTCACTCTTCACTCATGCGACTACATTTCCATTCACTGTTGTTCTGTTATATGTGGATGACGTTCTTGTTGCAGACAATGATATTTTCCAAGTGAATCACTTCAAGCAATTTCTTTCCGAGTATTTCAATATCAAGGATCTTGGTCCCCTCAAGTAGTTCTAGGGCCTTGAAGTTGCCCGTTCCCTTTTTGGAATTTTTCTCAATCAGTGAAAGTATGCCTTGGAGATTCTCTCTAACAGTTGTCACTTGGGTGCTAGACCCGCTTCATTTCCTATAGAGTGAAATTAAAAGCTTAATAACACTATCAGTGATCTTCTCCCTGATCCAAGCTCTTATCGTTGATTGGTGGGTCGTTTAATCTACCTCACCATCACTTGCCCTAACATCGTTTACCAGTGAATATTCTTAGTTAGTTCATGCACCATCGTCGGACCATTCACCTAAATGTTGTTGTTCATGTTCTTCATTACCTAAAGGGTGCCTTTGGATAAGGCCACCTCTTCTCCTCTACCAGCACTCTATATGTCATTGCCTACGCTAATTTTGATTGGGTAAGTTGTCACTCGTCTCGGCGTCACTATCATCTACTTCATTTGCCTTGGTGACAATCTCATTTCTTAGCAGACCAAGAAACAAGCTATTGTAGCTCATTCATCTGCTGAAGCAGAATATAGGACAAAGACCGTCACCACATGTGAGCTAGTATGACTTCAGAAGTTTCTCCACGATTTTGGTGTCCCTCACTCCCGTCCAATGACCATTTAGTGTGATAATCAATCCGTTCTCTACATCGTTTATAACTCTGTCTTTCATGAGAGGACGAAATATATTGAGATTAATTGTCCCATTATTTGTGAGAAGCTTTGTAACGGTTTGATCTCTACAACACACCTCCTTGCTTGTGATTAGATTATGTTATGAATTTTTTCACTAAACCCTTGGGTTGAAAATTATTTGACCACTTTACTTGCAAGTTGAGCATATGGACCTTCATGACCAACTTGAAGGGAAGTATTAAAAAATGAAATTTTTGTTATTAAGAAAGGAAATTTTTGTTATTAAAAAAAATAATTTTTTTTTCCATGTACAACTAAGACCGAGGAAGCACGGATACAGATACGTGACACGGGTACAATACGATACGGATACGGCGATACGGCAAAACTTAAAAAAATAAGATACGGGTACGGCTAGGATACGTCTATAATATAATATATTTTATATTTTATTATTATTTAACAACTTAAAAATTACAATTTTTCAATAATTCTTTAACATTAGTAAGTAAAATTAGAAATTTTTACCATAAAAAGGTTATAATATCATCTCATTATGATCTGTTCATAAAATGAGCATGACAAATTAAAGGAATTATAATAATATTTAACTAGTTGGTTTTACAAGTATTTATTTTTAAAAGTACAGTGTAAGTGATTTATTTTTTTTATACCCTCTTAACATATAATAATAGATAATACTTAAAAAACACTGGTGTTTTTAAAATCAGATGGAATTTTGTTGATGTTCTATATTGTATGTGAACTCCAAAGAAGGGTTATAGCTTAAAATTAAAAATTGTACATCTTACACCATGTTTAGAAGTATCCACATATTTTATTAATTATCGGATACGGATGATGCGTATCCGATACGTATCATCAAGTATCCGACCAGTATCGTATCCGATACAGTACCGGATACGAGTACGTCAACCTTAACGAAGTATTCGTGCTTAATAAACTAAGACTTTTTTTATTCTTTCTCTTATGGGACTATAAAGAAACATTCACGTGAAAGATAGAATTAAAGAATTTATTCCATAATTTTTAAGAGCAATCATGTCCAAGTTTATGTTTAGATTTTAGTATCAAAAAAAAAAAACTTTTGATCATATCTCTTTTTTTTATCCAACCACGAAAAGATACGTTAAAAGTTTTATTATTCTATTTATTTTATTATTCCAACAATTAATGGATAAAAATAAATAATTGTCTATAAGTCTATAACCTTTGGCCCTTGTGTCATCCAGCCATACACATCCAAATGAGCAGGGTTCAAGCCCCATCGTGGGCAGCTGAGATAGGCCAGTGGACACAGTTCCATTCCTATCGTGTCATTGTCTTCTCATTTATAATAAGTATAAAATAGTCCTTCATTTATTGTCATTATTTTTTTCCGCTTATTCATTCAAAATTACTAGATTTGATGATGCACAAAAGTGAATTTATACAATTAAATCAGTCGAATATGTAATACAGAGTAATTAATAAAATAGTTAATAATAAGAGACAAAAATTAGATGGTTAGGTCTAGAGACCTAACCACTAAAAATAGCAATAATGGTCAAAAAACTCTATCAATTGGAGAATACAAGGTAGTTGGAGAGAGAGAGAAAGCAAGAGTACGTTCAAGATGAGATGTCTGTTCTCTGCCCTCTTGTGTAAGAGGGTTTACAATTTATAAGCACAAAATCCTAGTTGAGAAGTAAATATTGAATGCAACGGTGATACCATGTCACCATTGATGACATGGACCAACCAATAATAAAACTCCAAATAGGAAAAGTGAACTCTACTTGGGTTTACATGACAAAAAGGTGCGAAGTTAAGGCGGTGTGATGAAGGTTAATATATTAGTTTACTGAAAAAAATAGCTACAATTGGGGATATGCACGATCTTGAACTCTTGGATATCCAATGATTGCTCTCTGACGTGCTTTAACTCTTCCTGAACTTTTGAGTTTTGGATTGGGTTAAGGTCATGAGATAAGCCAGAACTATCTTTTGATGGTTTGGGCTTAACCTATGAACTAGGTCTAGATTTGGTCTGAATTTGGGCTCGTCAAAATTAACGGCGGACCTTAATATTTATTGTGATTCGTTACCAATTCAATAGTTGTAATGAATTAGATTAACAAATTATATCAGTAAATTTCGTATAAATAACATTATTGACAACATATCCATAAATTGAATTCCGTTTATAAATTGAAGTGTTCGACAGTTTTATTTTGACAAACTAAAATTCAAAAATAATACAAATTCGATCCAATAATCCAATAAGAAACTAATTTTAATAATTATTTCTTAAAATCAACTCAATTTTATCAAATCATAATTTAAATTGGACACACAAATATATTTCGTACCAGATTGCTATTGCATCATATTGGTGTATTCGAATATTTGATAAAAAAAAATTAGTAATTGATAATGATCAGTTTAAAGTCTAGACCTTTTTTAGAGTCCAAGATCCTCTAAGTTGATAGAAAGCAGTCCAAGAAGATCATTCTGACAATATTTCTTGGGCGCAAACTGGGCTCCGACTCAATTCCAAGGAAGCTTGATATTAACAAACTCGGTATAGGTACTAATTTAGACTATGGGAACACGACACTAGGTTAGCCTAAAAAGCTATTGCAAGACATGTGGACAAAGGACAAGGAAAACATTACTCGGCAACTCTGATGAACTAAAACCCATAGATAGTGAAGACGAATCAAGTCTAATAGATTGTGAGTAGTTGATGTAGAAATGTTCTGGGACCACAACGCCAAGATGAAGAGAGAGACAGAGGGAACTACAAGATCAACTAAAAAGGACAAACGTGAAACCCTAGCCATCAATAGTATAAATAACTAATGGTGCTATAGGGTACAAGAGAGAAAACCCAAAAACAAGAAAGAAAGCGAGAATCACTTACATTGAATGTAACCTTAGCCTCTCGACTAATGCAAATCGCTTACATTTTATCTTTACTTCGGTAATTACCCACAACATGCACTCTCTCACGCACGCACCCACTCATGCATCCATATGTTTATCGGACTTAACCCGATCTTGTCCTACAACTTGGGTCCGTTAATTTTGAGCACCATCACTAATCGTATAAAAATAATCAAATTCAAATTTAAATTGAAATTTAATTCATTAGCAAGTCTGTCTACCACTGTTCTTTTCCTGGAGTTTTAAAGTAATGGTGGAAATGGAATCAACTATAATGAAACATTTTTTTTCATTAAAATATATTTCATCGCTGACAATCAAATAATTAATAATAAAACCGAGCCTAAACCCCCAGTAAAAATCATTAAAAAAAGACTTTAAAAAAAGTAGTACTCCTCCTATTGTATGAAACTTTGACTAATCTGTTCCAAGTCATCTATCAAATTTTAAATACTTTAATTAATGGTTTTTAAATCATCGCATTGTTAAGTGGGGTCCAGATTGTGCCTTAAACATACTTTTCAAAACTTATTATTGCAAGTATACATCACTGACACGTAGCAAATCGCAATCAAATTCATGATTAATGATCTACCATTATAATAACTTAAAAAATATATATATTCAGCATGCTAAATCTAGGAACTTTACACTAAGATGGAATTCCTAGTATGCGCTAGGGCTAAGTCTATAAATTGTAGAGGTCTCTCAACTATGAGCTGAGAACATAAATTTGATACAATACGATTTTAAAATTAATATAATTAATAAATATATATAATAAATAATTTAAATTAATATTTAACATTTGGAATATAATAAATAAATATTTTTTGTAAATTTTAGTATGAATAAAATAACACGATATAATATGAAATACATTGACCTCTTTTTGGTCACGTAATTAGGATTATTATTAATTAAACATGAGGGTCGGTACAAGTCCATATTAAACTGGAGGGTCGGCTCAGTCAGGTCCATGGCAATGGCGTCACGTCACCATCTAATTAGGTTCATGTCCAGCACATAGATGGCGATGCCCTACCTCCGGACCCACAACTACGTGGCGGCAACTGGAGGCTCGTACCGGTCCGCTTTCACGTTCTGTACAATGATTCGGATCATCTGCCGTCCCTCCGTTATCAGATCGATACCGAAATGGAGCTAAACAATTATCCTTAAATCGAAAAATCCTCAATATATCACATGATATAATAGTCAATTAATAAATAAAACTTCATAAAATTTAAGATTGATTTCATTCACACCTCTATTAGTTAGATCTAAATTTAATGACACCCGTTTTCAATTTTAAAATTTCATTGCACTACATTTTTGTTCATACTTTCAAATCAGGGATATCTCTTTAACGATAATTTTTAACTCTATCAGCATAAAATATAACGATTTGATTATAAATTTTTTAAAAATATCAAAATTATTATTCTTTATGTAAATATACTAAAATATTTTTAACCATTTTCCTATTATATATATCATACCCTTTATTATTATTGAAGGTCAAAAACGATTTAGTGTTGCTGGAAGACATAGAGGATTAAAGTCAATCATTCTTATTCAACTCGTTCTCCACTGAGATCGATCACTACCTACGTTGGTGAAAAAAAAAATATTATTTTTTTTCTTGCAAATTTGTAATGCTTTTCATGCAGATTTTTAAAAAAATTTCATTTAATTTTTTTATGTAGATATTTTTTATTTTTTTATGCAATTTTTTTTAACTTTTTTCCTGCAGTTTTTTTTTTAAATTTCTTTCATGCAAATTTTTAAAATTTTTTCATGTAGATTTTTTTTTATTTTTTAATACAGATATTTTTAATTTTTTTCTTGTAGAGATTTTTAAATTTTTTTCATGCACATTTTTTTTAATTTTTTTCTTCCATTTTATTATGTTAATATGTTGTGATGTATTATTGTAAGATTGATGTATTCTTCAACTATTTGTAAAGACTTAGGGGAGGAAGAGTTTGAAATAAGCATAATTTCTATTATTATATTATCCCAATAAATTTTTATCATTTTAAAATGTTGCATGATAATTTTGTTGTAATATTAGTAATCATATTGTCACTCATTTAGTTACATAATCAAGTTTTTATAATTTTTATAGTTAAAAGTAATTTTTCTATAATAAAAATTACAATCAATAAAGTCTATATCAAAACCTCATACATTTCTATCTCATTTGCTGTCATCTGTCTTCAACAATGTCACCTGACCATTCTTCACACATCACCCTTTATATATATAATTTAAATATTATTTGATAAAATTTAATAATAATGGAATATATTTGGTCTTAATTTGATAAATTTAAATATTAGTTTGGTGTTAATTTTATTTTATTTAGTGTTGATTTGATAAAATTTAATAATAATTGAATAAATTTAAATGCTACTTTAATGAAGTTGGATGTTCATTTGATATTAAATTAAGTAACTAACATTAATTTGATAAGGTTCAATGTTAATTAATGGAATTTAATATTTCATTTAATATATTAAATTTTAATTTAATAAAATCAAATGTCAATTTGATAAAATTAAATAATAATTTAATGTTAAATTAAAGAAATAATACTAATTTGATGAAATAAAATATTAAATTAATATAACTAAATGCTAATTTGATAAAATTAAATATCAATTTGTGTTGATTTGATGAGATGAAATGTTAATTTAGTTTAAATTAAATCAACGACATTAATTTGATAAAATTAAATATTAAATTGATAAACTTAAATGTTAATATAATAGAATTAAAATAGAGTGCATTAAAATTTTAGAATCGGAAAGGGGTATTGCTAAAGATTGGTTTATTTATAGACGGTGTCATTGAAGTTATGTCTATTTACAAGTGGTGTGGATAAAATTTATCCTATAAAATTAAATATTTATAGGCGTAACCCGACAAACATTGACAGTTGACGACAATGAAGTTTCAAAATCGAGAGGGGATGTTATAGAAATTTAGACCTAATTATAGGGGTGTAGATGAAATTTTTCCCAAAATTTAATAATCACACATCTATATAATTAATATACATAATTTGATTAAGTAAAATATAATTTAGATTTAATTTAAAAATATAATTTGAGAGCTTAATAAATCTAACATAGTAATTAGATTGAAAATGAGTTTTATCTAATTTTAAAATTCATCATCAATCTAACATTTATATTTAATTAAATTTTTAATTAGGTCCTCAGTCCTATAACATTATTCTATGATGAAATGAGTGATACAGATGAGCCAACCAGACAAGGTGTTAGAGAGAAGTTGCCAACTTCCTAACATTTTCTTTTGCCGCTCTTTGTTTTCCAATAATGTTGGAGACGCACTTAATTTAATGATGAATGTCATGTTGTACGACACTTTGCTTCTGAGATAAATCACCGTTTAAATGCATAGGCCAAAGAAACGGATGGAGATCCAGATCCAATGTCAGATATACATAGTTCAGTTAAGCAACTATTTATAAATTGTATATAGATTAATAACAAATAGCAACTTAATGTAAAGGCTCAACAATGGAGAGATAAGTTCATTTAGAATAATATTATTAGGATCTAAATATTTTATTTAATTTATTAATTTAATGATATGATTTTATTATAATTATTAAATTAACATCAAATTGTAATATTTGAATAAAACTCACATTTAGTCTAAAGGTTATAATGATATAAATTAATAAATGAATTAAATTTTAATAAGCTCCACGGTTAAACCAAAACCCATCTGTAAAACCGAAATCTTTACCAATTAAAAATTTTCCCCATCTTTCATGATTGTCCTTCGACAGTACATCAATACAAAGCTTTGATTTATAAGAAAAAAAGGCCAAATAAAAAAAGAAAAAGAAAAATAGAATCCACACCACGTAGCTATAGGCCTCTCCTAAGATCCACAACGACGACGCTGACGTTATCGGTGCTGTGCCTTGCCAAGGCCAACTTGGTCAACAGAATTGACGCATCAGAGCAAGCCTTGTCCGAGCTCTCTCCGGATGCGGACACATTCACATCGCTTCCCGGAGACGGCGGTGGCGATGGTGGCTTCTGAGCTTGCAGACACATCCGCGCAACGCCGCAAGCAGTTTCGTTCGATACCACATCCCACAGCCCATCACTTGCTAGTATTAAGCATTCGTCCTCTGCCGTCCGATCCGTTACGGTTACTTCCGGTTCTGAAATCACGTACGGCTTAAGGTAACTGTCGCCTATTGCTCTGGACATTGCTAGGACTCCGAGAACTCGAGGACCGTCCCAGTATATGACTCGACCGCCGGCGTCTTCTATACGGCTAAGCTCATCTGGCCGATCAGGCTGCGATTTATACCAAAGCAAAAAAATTTGAATTCCACACAACCAAAACTGTAATAAAAATTGAAATTGATGTTCGTGTTTGGACATATGAACGATGAAGACTCACCTTGTGATCGGAGGAGAGGGGGATGGCGACGCCGTTCCGGCAAAGCACGGCACGAGAATCACCGCAATTGGAGACGATTATCTTTTCCGGAGTCACGACAGCAACGACCGCGGTGGATCCAACTGCGTCGCAGTGTGGAGTCTGAAGTTCACACCTGCAATTCGAGCTCAAGATGGTTGAACCATTGCTCCATTCTATAACTTCCTTGTCCATACGTGAGAAGCTCTGCATCATCGTCTCCTTCCATGAAGCTTCACTTTTCTCGAATTCGTCTAACACTATCTCATGCATTCGATCCTTGCACTTCATCGCGACCTACAAACAACAAAGAAAAATTAAATCAAGATCATTAAAGAAACCCTCACAATCTGTGCTCAGTACTTGTAAATTCTATGTTATGGTGTTCATGAGCTGAATCTAGGAACTCACATGTGAGCAACCATGGCCGTCGTAAACGCCGAAGAAATGTAAATCGCTCGCAATCTGATGATTTCTACTACCTAGTGGATGAATCGCCACTGCATCTTCCATGTCTCTCCGTCTTCCACGCACAGAAGTCATCCCAAACTTAGGGCACTCTGAAGCCACTTCACGCTCGACTCTCACAGACGAAGACAGAGTCTCACACCGATTCAAAGACTGTGTCTCCGATTCACCATTTTTCGCAAGTTCATTTCCACTAACCTCACAATTGTGAATAGCGTCATCGCACGACGGCGGTGGTGGAACTGACAGACTCATGGCCTCTAGTTTTGGTCTCTTCCGACTAGCTTCCGGTGGCTGTATAGCTACATCGGCGGCAACCAACTTGAATTGATGAATTTCCAGTTTCCGACGCTTCGCTGATTTCGAACTCGGCTCAACCGGTGCTGAAGTTTCAGTTTCGCCGCCGACAACTCCATAACACATCCCAGCCATTACGAAGCCTAAATTCAACTAAAAGTCTCACAATTTCACAATCTTTTTCTCAGTAATCTCTGTGCTTTGAAGCTTTTTTTTTTTGGTCAAACTACTTTGAAGCTCAAAGCCTCCAGAATTTAAGAATGAGAATACCCAAAACTGTGTGCAGCTCAAACCCGATCTTTCAATTTGAAGGGGACAAGAGAAGATAATATACGAGAAATAAAATCTTAGGTCGTTCAGAGCACAGGACCCATAAAAATGAAGCTTTGTTGGATGGGCGAGACCACATAATACCAGACTGGTGGGGTGGGGGACTAGTTTACGGGCAGCTGCCCATCACCGTAAAGGGCAGTATCCGACACGTACAGTTGGTGTGACGTAGCTCCCCCTGATCTGAATTGAATTGCAAAGCGGTGATCTTCACCGTCCATTAGGTACTTTGCTTCTCTCCCTCTCTTATGTCATTCCACGTGTAAAGATTATGGGTATACGTGGCCCAATGAGAGTCCAACACGGTAGTGTGAAAGAACGTCCCTTCTCTGACACGCATGTGGTCCTGGGACGCCTCTCACCTGTTATTCGCTTTTGGTAGTCTTTTACAATTATTATTAATTTTTTGTAACGCCTTTCTCGAACTATTGCCGAGGATATCACCACGTGGCAGGATCGTCGAATACGAGATTCGTTTTTTATTTTGTCTGTCCACACGCCTTTGTGGCGTGTGACGATTAATTGATTGATATATTATTATTATAGGATACAAGTACACAGAGTTGGCAACACGCCCCGCGGTTAGTGTAGGAGTGGAGTTTAGGTAGTTTCTCTTTATTCTGGTTTTGTTCCAGTTGTGCAATGAAAGCCTCTACGTAACAAGAGGAAATTCGGACACGTGTGGGACCATATGTCAACGTCATTAAGGGAATATCTAAACTTTGGCTTGCCCATTGGTCGACACGTGTCCAACACTGACGTGGAGTTGAGGTGTAGCCCTCGTTCCTCGCGCTCTACACGTTTGGAGCAATAAACTTTCCTTATTTTTTTAGTATTTGCCGTCCCGTAACGCATATTTGGAAATCTGAAATTTACATAAAACTCCCCCTAGATTTCTTAAATCAAGGACCTAGCACTTATATTAGTAAAAATACAACTCACTTCATTCTTCTTTTTCGTCATTTTCGTTTAAACGTTTAGTTGTTGGGTTTGTTAATTTTTTTTGTAAATTCTTTTTTTTTCACTACGTAGCGCTTCACCTTTCATTCATTTCGTTGTTCTGCCTCTTATCTATTTATTTATTTGTGACAATTCTCTTATCTTTTCGCTTTCTATCGTACCCTTTCAAGCAAATAGATTAGAACTTAGTCTCTTAGTAAAAATACAACTCATTTTGTTTTGATTAAACTTCACTTTATTAACTATAGTTAGGTTTATTTGCATATTACCACCTCATAAGGCTTAGGAACGTGTAGGGTCGTGTGATGTACCAAGTCAAAATTTATATTATTGTGCGTTATTAAAGAGGATTTTATTGGATTCCAAATGATTTGAATCAAATTTTAAAACTTTCACTTGATTTCAATTCAAATATCTTATGGATTTTACTTTTGTAATTTATAAAGTACTAAAAAATCAAAGTCTAATAATTAGAATTTGACTTGATCTAAATAACTCAATTAAATCTGAATTTTAATAATTTATTTACAAAAATTTAACTTAATTTTCGAACACAATATTTTGAGTTCATCTATCTATACTATATATCTACAACTATCAATTTTTTAAGGAGAAAGCTTGAGAAATCTTACTTCTCATTTTTCTAATTTTTAAGAATTTTTAATTATTAAGTTTTTCATCTTTCACTCTCATTTTTCTAAATGCATATAATAATTATTCTAAATAACTACTCATAAACAACCTTTAACCTTTACTTTATCTAAATTTTTTTACACATCAAATTTTGTATTTCAATAAGGCTACAATATTTTTACTAACTTATAAAAAAAACTATGTGAAAGGGTAAAAGGTGAAGAGGAGGATTGTGAGAAGAAGGGGATGATTTGTCCACAGCACGTGGTCAAACTCTAGTACTATATAAAAAATAATTAAATTCGTAGAAAGAGCGCTTGAGACGAGTTCTCTCTCACTTTTCTAATTTTAAAGAATTTTAAATTAATAAATTGTTCATCGTTTAATCATATTCTATCAAATACCTCTAATAACTAATCTAAATAATTATCCATAAATTTTTTCTAACCAGCATTTATTTAAAAAAAAATATTAAATATCAAATTTTGTAACCCAAATAATTTCTATAATATTTTTGCTAACTTAAAAAATAATGAATGTGAGAGAGCAAAAAGGTGAAGAAGGGACTAGAAGGAAAAGGAGATGAATCGTGCATCGAATGGGACGGACGCTAACTGTGCGTGCAGGATCTTGCATAATATAAATACGAGAACAGATCTCTCATGTGGTGAACTCGAGTCAGTCAATCAAATGGGTAACCTTGCTATTTGGAACAGGCTGAGATCCGTTGACGGCTTGGAACGGTAATGGGTGACTTTCGTGGATCAAAGGAGCAGCCCAGTAAAGTTGAGGGAGGTTCCTGGAACAAAGAAAGACAAGTTAGACAAGCGTCAGAGTGTTTTTCGGCGTATCCCCTCTGACGATTAAGTCAGTTTTTGAGAGAGAAAGAAGAAGAAAACACTGAGTATAAATTTGAGAAAAGGTTTTTCGTTGCATTTAGTCTTGCCTTTTGCGAGGAGTATTTATACCTCAAAAACTCATGATTGCTGTTAATGTGGTCGGTAGGTGATCATTAGATACGCGCAACGTGCGCACTGATTCCTATGAGGAATGTCTTTTTTTTTAACTGCTCGGGACCCCGAGCAACTAATGCTGCGTCATCGACCTACCGAATGTTTAATGAGCTCCTCTCGGCAAGAGTGTAATAAATGTCCAGTCTTAGAGACATTTATTACCTTTCACTTCCGAGTCTTACCGCATTAAATGTTGTCTCATCAAGGGAATAGTGTAATTAAATGCTTGTTTCCCCAAGTCGTGTGTCAGCAAGGGCATTCGGTCTTTTTTGTCTCTGATGTGACACGATATGTCACGCGCCCATTCCCCATTGGCTGTGTCTTCTGCCTTCCCGTGCCTTCTGACACTAATTGTGTAAGACGAGGTCATGATGACTAACCTAGCCCAGCCTAGACTAGTGACCTGTACACCAATAACCTCTGCAGGAGCAGAGAACGCCATACTGAACGGGGTATGTCTCAGTACCGAGGGGAGTGGTACATGTAGAGACCGATGTACACACATCTGACCGAGGGATACGCGTCGGTACGTAACGTATTGGGTGTCATTGATTCCTATCAACAGTACCTCGGGAGAACAGGGACTAGAGATCCGACGGGTACGTGTCGTGATTACAGTAACAAGATTTTACTGATGCCGAAAACATGTGTCTTCATCTTGGAGTATATGGAAATGTCCCATCACTAGCCATACCCTTATATCTAAGTATTTATAATTTGGAATGGATTGCAAACATTAAACATCAATAAAAATGTCAATCAACCTATAACTAATAGATTTTGGGTTTGAATAAATGTTCGACTTATTGATAGCTCTATTTGTGTAATATTCATAAATACAAACAGACCCACTAATTTAGAAGACTACATGACACGACCTGCATATGCATATAGAAGAAGTATTCGCCAATGACAAGGGATGTGAAGCACGATATCATAGGAATAGAAGAGATGTATTTGATAATGTGAAAAAACAGGGGGTGTCAATGATATTATTGTTATTCCTTCTCATTTCTTTGCAGGAGTAGTGCATAAGATTTGGAAGGAGAAGGAGGTAGGGTTTGTGCATGGAAGGTGGGACCTGTACAAATAGCAAATTTCATCTACAATCACTAAGGAGATGCCACGTATAGAGGTCTGTGCTGGCAACCATTGCCCTGCCCTTCCGTGAGGTGACGGAACGGCCAACAGAGCCACGTGACCCAGGAAAAAGGCACTCACAGACAACGTACACTCATTAAGTTACTTTAACCGATCGGTAACTCATGTAGTTAAAGTCTGACAACAATTGATATAAGACACGTCATATTAATGAGGAAATATTTAAATCACACAACATCTGGTTGTCACATTAATGAGAAAATATTTAAATCACTGTATTTATCTGGTTGTCACATTAATGAGAAAGTATTTAAATCACTGTATTTAGGTGCGTTAAAATATGATATGACTTGTTAAAATGTTTAATTTTTTTTTAAATTACTTATTTTGTAAATAAATGAATGAAATATGATATGATTAATTAACAAATTGAGTATATAAGAAACTAATAAAAAAAATATAACACGTTTAAATACTAGTTATATATAATTCAAATACGACACGGAATTATTATAACAAAATTTGTTAAATAAGAATTATTAAACGAATTAGCTAAAATTCGACATAAATCCGCTTCACCCGGCATGATTGATCGACCTAACTGCATCATTAGTTATTGTTATGTTATATCAACTATTGATTATAAAAAAATATATAACTATTGACATCCAAATATGTAAAAATATTAAAAAGGACACATGTCGTGGTCAAGTCGATGACATAGAATAAAACTCAAAAGTAGTCTTATACTTCATTATAAACGCTTAAATAGGAATAATTAGGAATTGACGTAGGTTAAAGTAAGAAAAATTGTAATGTTTAAAATTATTAAATCTAATTAAATTTTTTCGTGCCCGTGATTAAAAAAATATGTCAAACAAAGGCTTGTGCATACCATCGAATTTTATAAACCATCAATAATTTTTACATCAATAACTATCGTATGAAATTAGTTTAGTTCACTTGTATTACTTTTATTTTATTAATACGTATATGACAAAAATAATTTATTTCATATTCGTACCACCGAATCTAGGTAAAAATGTCATTACATATTATTTTTTTTTAATTACATTATGATTTTTTTTTAATAAGGAAGAGATAAGTAAATAAGGACGTCATCTACCATGACAGATAGGGGTGGCATCTACCATGTTCCTTGTATAAATAAGGGTGCTTGTACATTTTTTAGGGGCAGATATTGTTTTTGCTTTGAGTTCCTTGTAATTATAGAGAGCTTGAATATAAGGTTTATGAGTGTTTTCCTATTAAATTCGTATGTTGTCTTTGTGTGGGTTTATATGTCCCTATATTCTCATCAAAACCATTTTCATTAGTTTTTTTTTTTCAATTATCTTTGTTATTGAATACTAAAATCTAAATACATCGTCGTTTATGAAAATTAATCGATGTATGTAAAAGAAAAAAAAATATTTGAGTTTGTGTGGCT